TCAGATATATCGCCAGCTACTAATTTTATCATTTTTGCATGCATTTCTAACTTAAATTTTACTCCGTCACACTTACACTGCGTTGCATAAATTAAGGCCAAAGATGTCACGGAAATTTTGATTGCCTATTTCTCTGCAGCCGTCCAAACCTAGTGAATGCTGTTTGCTGCCAAAACAAGACAATTTAGTTTGCTTTCAATTAGACAAGAAACATTTGCCAAAATAATTGCAGTTTCCGAAAAACATACACATTACTAAAAAAATCAAGAATTAATGGTGCAAAAGTTAAGGCCAAAATGAAGAAGATACTTGATTCACGGCTAAATTTGAAAGTTGAAAATTTATTTCGTTAATTTAAGTTAATCAACTTGTTTTACGCACAATTTAACTAACATGCTGAAAATCCGTGAATTATGTGTAGCAGATATGCATGTGAAAACAAACCAATGTTGGATGTGAAAGTGTTTCGAAAATTTTGAAATCTTACTAACTCCAAAATTTTTACTCATGGGATATGGGTCGAAAACCTTTGTGGGCAATCCCATAGGGTCGATGAAAATTATTTTCGACCATACCTGTGCTTATCTGAAGGATTTGTGCGATTAAACTCCAAGTAATATGTGAAATGTCGTTAAAAAAGGCAAAAATCTTAGTTTTCTGTCAAGCTGTCCCCATGAATTTCGTTGAAATCTATCAATTTCGTGACTTAAATTACTCGAGCAATACATTTGGCAAATTTTGAACCCATTTGTAGCAAACCGAAAACGCGATCATAAAAGTTACTGAGGTTGTTACGCTCAAGGATGTAAAGTTATAGTTGATAATTTCGGTCCGTTGTCCACAATTGCTGGTCAAAGTGACGATATGGTTGGATCTCAAAAAAAATAGCTCCAGCTGGATGGGTTGAGACCAGTCAAGGCCCTAAAACTCATTGGGATAAACCAACTGGTATCCTGTCCAGAAACTAGGTAACTGGTCAAGTTGGTCAAGTTGGCATTTTTTTATTCTTGAGCGTAGCAGCCTCAGTAACTTTTATGATCGCGTTTTCGGTATGCTACAAATGGGTTCAAAATTTGCCAAATGTATTGCTCGAGTAATTTAAGTCACGAAATTGATAGATTTCAACGGAATTCATGGGGAGAGCTTGACAGAAAACTAAGATTTTTGCCTTTTTTAACGACATTTCACATATTACTTGGAGTTTAATCGCACAAATCCTTCAGATAAGCACAGGTATGGTCGAAAATAATTTTCATCGACCCTATGGGATTGCCCACAAAGGTTTTCGACCCATATCCCATGAGTAAAAATTTTGGAGTTAGTAAGATTTCAAAATTTTCGAAACACTTTCACATCCAACATTGGCTTGTTTTCACATGCATATCTTCTACACATAATTCACGGATTTTCAGCATGTTAGTTAAATTGTGCGTAAAACAAGTTGATTAACTTAAATTAACGAAATAAATTTTCAACTTTCAAATTTAGCCGTGAATCAAGTATCTTCTTCATTTTGGCCTTAACTTTTGCACCATTAATTCTTGATTTTTTTTAGTAATGTGTATGTTTTTCGGAAACTGCAATTATTTTGGCACATGTTTCTTGTCTAATTGAAAGCAAACTAAATTGTCTTGTTTTGGCAGAAAACAGCATTCACTAGGTTTGGACGGCTGCAGAGAAACAGGCAATCAAAATTTCCGTGACATCTTTGGCCTTAATTTATGCAACGCAGTGTACGCATAATTATTTGTAGAAGATTGGTGATGTGTGGGAAGACAATGATGGATTTGTCAAAATCATATTTTCCTTGATTAATGGTGGGTGATGCTTGGAAGATGAGGTGATGTCCGTCGTAATGACTTGAATGCAGGATGAATGGCGAGTTCAGTATTAATGAAAAATCCTGAGATAAAAGAAAAAAATGTGTGAATAAATTTGGTGAAATTAAAAATGTATTTTGAATAATTTTTATCGTTTTATTGTCTCAATTATTGAAGAATTGCTTATTTGAGATTGCATAATTTTTGTGCCAAGGCTAAGAATTTGGAGTCGACATTTTTTCCTTGTAATTGAGATTGAATATTCTCCGTTGCGTGTCCTAGAACAGCATCGAAAGCAGGTAGAAGACCTGCTCTGATGGACACAGCGTCGGAGGATCTTCTACCCTGCTTTGGAAACTTTCGTTTAACATGCATGTAAATATCGTCATTATAGACGTTGCAATCAATTTGAAGTTCTTTATTTATTGTATACCGTAGGTTCTGACCTACAGTCATATACCAGATTTTAGTGTTGTCTTTATCGTGGATCAACTCCCCAAACCCTTGGTCCTTAATGGACGTGAGAAGTTTTAACACTTCCAAAGGATTTACCTTATTATCATCCTCGTTGATAGTAATCGGATTGCTCGTCGTATCTCCGGGATTAGTAGATTGCGCTTGGTGAGCACGATATTTTGCTAAAAGATCCTCTAGGATCGCCTCTCGATCGTCCACCATGCTGGATGATGTCGACGGGGTCGGTGATGGCGAATCCTGGACATTCTCCATCCATTCTTGACGAGTTTCCGACGGTAGTTGCAAGAGTTTCATGAGTAGCTCGTAATCTGAAAGATTCAACAAACAGAAAGCATTAAGGAGCAATTCTATAGACAACTAATGCATAAGTGAATTAATTTGTGAATGGAAATTAATGAATGGAGATGAAAACTTATGCTGCTTGAGTTTTAGCAGCATTCCCTTTCTCAGTCATAGCTCGTTTGGCTGGTGATCCTGCTAAGAATTATAAAAAAATAACAATTCATATTACAATTTTTTACTTTTGTAAAATCGTTTTTGTTTTCTTCAAAACTATTATGAAAAATTAATAAAAATTTACCTAGACTGGGGGTGGCTTTACGTCCTTTTCCACTCATGTTTCAAGTATCCAGTAAAATGTGGGAGAAGAAGCTTCTTGGATAGATGGTTTAATTGTGATGCTCGGTGTTAAGTTTTTCACAACTTTTATAGGGGTGGATTTACATACATGCAGTACAATTGTATAAGAATCACTTTCGTTCTCTTAATATTTTATTAATGCTTAATATTAATGTATAACTGCGAATTATGTAATATTATTATATTAATATTTATGTAGGTATTTTAACATTTGGACTTTGAATTGCTGAGCTTGCATTTTACGTACTGAGATATCGTATGTACTAAATTCCCTTCCTCGAAAGCTTGATTGATTCCGAAAAAGATCATCCGATCCTTGCAAAGTGAAAGGTTTCAAAAATTTGCAAAAAAATGTGTACGTATCTGGGGCTGTATGTATGTATGTGTGTGTTAAGCTAAGTTGATGATAATATTTGTTCACTAATCTTCAACGGTTGGTTTGATCATGACATCATATAAATTTATATGAGCTTGCACTTTTCAGGAACTGATACCTGATATCTTATGTAATAATAATAATAATGACAAACATCCATACATATTAATGTATTTGCATATATATGTTTAGCTTAGTAATTTCTATGGGCAGAAATTTCTTATAAAAGCCTTTCATACCTTCTATCTACATTCACAAATCATTCAACAAATCAATTTGACGATGGCGTGTATTAATTTTATATAATTTTTTTCTTCCAGTGATGTACCTTGCAGCGTCAGCGAAAATTACCGTAATCAATATCACGTTTTCATTCATCAAATACTACATATTTCATTCAATGAATGAATATGCTGACATTGCAAGGTACTGTGATGACCACCACAGACACACACACTGCTTAAATAATAAGAAAATGAATGAATATCATCACTTCTCCTACTTTAACTTCCTAATCGTTAAAATTGCATGGATGATCACTTCAATGGATGATGTGAGTAATATACATAAATCTTCACCAGTTAATTTGTACCTTGCTGACTCCACAACTTTGTGACAGGGTGTTTCACAAGACTGACGACATCTGTTTATTTTATTACAAATAATAATAAGTATTTGTGTTTTTTGTGTAATCACTGCTAGTGGAAAACCCTGTTTTTCAAAAACAAGTAGCATTTACAGGAGTCCATAAATCAGTGCTATACTGGACTTTATATTAGACTGAATTAGATGGATTACATTTTTTAAATTGCAAACCCTGTGTGGACTATAGTGTGGTCTGTAATTTTGACTGTGGTGTAGACACCACAGTCCACAGTTTACATTATTTGTGGAGTGGTGTAGAGTGAATGTGGTGTGGATCATTGTCGACAAACAACTGTGGTGTGGACTGTGGTGTGAACTATTGTCGACACACAACTGTGGTGTAGACTGTGGTGTGGACAAAACTTTTGCCCATCTATGATCCCTACAATGTTATAGTCAAAAGTATTGAACATGTTAAATTAACAAGGTTTCAATATTAAGCATATTTAATATATATATGTATATGTATATATATTATAATAATAATATAATATTAATAAGGGCATTTTTATACCATAAAGTATAAAAACCAAGCCATAATGGTGGGAGAGACATGAATTAACATCAAACATTCATACATACAACGAAAATGGCTCAAGCTCAAGTTCAAAAACGATCGAAGGCGAAAATCCCAATTGTCGAAATTCTGGATGACGAGGACCTAACTAAAGTGGACTCGCAGGACTTGCAAGATGCTGCATACCCCCTGATATTGGGAAGCAAACTCGCCTCAGGTCTAGACATTATCAGGTTTGTATAACTAATAATAATAAATAATTTTCTAATAAATAAGTTTTTACTCAAATTTTTATTTTATTTAGTTTTGTATATTTTTATTCGTTTTCCAGTCGACATGAGTATATTCTCCCTCCACGGAGCACTACGCAAATCGACACTGAGCTTATCATCCGAGTACCCCCCAATCATTATGGAAGGATCGTGGACCGGTCATCCCTGAGCATCCGAGGACTAAGCATTGGAGGGGGTGTAATTGACCAGGATTACAAGGGGCATGTGAGTATTATAATTCACAATCTACGGGACGTCACCCAAATTATAGAAAAATGGGAGAAGTATGCACAGCTCATTCTTGAGCGGTGCACTCTGCCGAAGGATGTAATATGGGCAAATGGAATGGTAAGCATCTTTTCGCATAAATGTTGGGGTTATAAGTATATAATTGTAATTATGATTTACAGGGGATCATCCTATCTTCCCACGTTGAGGGGGAGCGAAGGGAGTTTGGGCTGGGATCGACTGGCAGATTCGTGTAAGCGAAGGACATATAAGATATTTATATACATATGTATATATATGACATGTGTTAAACTTTCTTTCTTCTTAAGCAATCCCGAGCAGTGGGTACACGTCACTGCTCCTGGTTCTTCAAATAAATAAAAAACCAAGATTTTTTTTTCTCTCCTTAGAGAAATTCGTCTATGTGTCATTAATTTCTTATCATTAGATGAGATTCTTCGTATGAGAACCAAACATACATACCAATTCCTCATATCGATTCTTCACATGACATGCATACATACACAAATGAATATACTATTACATATAAGCATATTTTATCACCACTCACCCCATCACCATATCATAAACTTATTCATATAAAATTGCATATTAATAAATAAAAATAATCCACACTTCTTGCGCACTGCACTTGGAATTACGAAGAAGTTCTATATTTATCCTTTGTTTTTAAGTTGGTAAAATTACATATTTGGCACCCTTACTACCCAGCTCTGCAAGGGATGGGTAGTGGGGGTTCCTTCTACTACTCATGGCACCCTTCGAGAACTGCACAACCGCAGTAATTCTGCCGAAGAACGATACAATTAAAGCCCATCATTTCGCCAAGAGCCCAATCTATTTGGTAAACCATAATTGTACAAATCCTGCCATACTGGAACGGATCAGGTCCCCCAGAAGAAGGCGTCACCCTGCAAAACATTGCTGGGCATCTTTTTCCATTCTCCCAGAAGATGACGACTTGCCAAAATACCAACCACTAGACTATGTATTTTCCACACAAATTTTCGCTCATCAATATCTCATCTTGTTCACGAGATACAAATTCAGAGTGAAAAACTACTTACAACATGAATTCGTGCACTTGTTGTATCGCTTGGAAATACTAATTGTGGGCGTCTCCCTTTACCCCAATTTAGAACTTGCGCACGATTCAAACGTGGGAAGTATTCGGTTCGAGTATCATAACACACATCTTGACCCAAACATAATGACGATCGATAGACAACTTTCGAAACCCTGTATCTAGTCGAATGCCGAATTAACGTGGGATCTTCCTGCTTAGATAAGTTGCTCAATATTGGAAAAATTACTGCAGAATTAAACAAGTATTTCTGGCTGATGAGACATCCCATCACCTTTAACCCTTTTAGACGGGACGCCATTCGGAAACTAATTTGCGCTAAGGAAATATCTCGCCATATGTACAGAGAGTTGTCAAATGTTTTCATTTTTACTGAATTTGCAGCACATTTACTTGTAGACGACACTTGTTAAAATATATCGACGCGGTATTTGACATCCTTCATTAATAACATTAGTGTTCATGAAGTCGATACGATCCCTATTTTCGAAAGTGTGAAAACCTATGGTTTAATCTCTTGTTAAAATTTAAGCCTGAGACTTTTATTCTGAGTGCGTTAACAGATCCGTTCGACTCGAAAACGTGGATTCTTATATTATTAAATTTCTCCATTATTGTGGAGAAATTTAACAACTAATTTAACAAAATAATTTTAACAACTCTGTCAATTAAATCAAGTTTTGACGGGGTGTTAATAACAATTACGATATTCCTCGAAAATTCGGTATTGGATCGGGAAAAGCATTTTCAATCAAGATTCCCCATAAATTCAGACATCCTTGGGATTCGATTCTTACTCGGGATCTGGGTTTTATTAAGTGCAATAACGTTAACAAATTGGTATAAAACTTCCTTCACGATGGATACGATTGTTCCAACGAAGTATAATCCACCATGGAGCACATTTCTCGATATTGAAGCGCTTTGTACCACTGTAAGGAACGGGTGAAAGTGGGAGAAAGTATGAACACGACCGACTCGAGTGAGTTGCAACCAAAGACTGAAGACTTTATTATGGTAAGGTTCAGCATTACTGCTGACACTACACCCCTCTGGTTTTAATTCATAAATTTACAAATGAATTATGCACTAGACACAAATAAATACAAGTTGTTAATAACTTATTAATAATTAATGTAAACACGCTTTTCTAACAAAATTACAGTTTTGTATAAATTTTAAGCACAATAAATACTGCTGCACAGCAGCTGACTGACACCCTACTCTCGTGGTTGGGAGTAGATACATATATATACACCACACAAACATCATGAGGGATTATCGTATGGCGAGTTGCATTGCGTGTCATTTCGTCATTAACTTAAATCAATGTAAGAACAAAGTACGACTCGAGTATTAAAATTAATGGATGCCATAACTGCAGAGCTGGTGCAACTTTATTCATGCATTTAGAAACGGATGGATGTCCTGCCACAGCAACCTTGGAATGCCTCAAAGCATCATTCTTTACGTCTATGCAAATCCCAGCTAAAGCTACAACGTTGCAAATAATTATGAACTTGGACCACCCAGACATTGATCTTGAGTGCACAGCTAAGTGTGGATCATCATACCTCCCGTTACACATTAAAGGCCATTTAGAGTACCTGCACTATATTGATATGAGAAGCTATCATTCAGATGTCCATCATGAACCAATGATGGAAAAGCTGGCAAAATTTCGTGCAGTTTACAGAGACTTTGGTCTCTGAGTTGAATTGAGTGTAAAAATTCGTTAGAAATGGTGAAAGTTAAATTGGAAAGTGTACTAGTACATCAAGTGATAGATTTACTACAACTAGTTAGTCAGTTCGCACCTGCCCAAAACTGCAAATCTTCCAAAGGTGTAGTGAAAAAATTAAAAACGGCGACCTCCAGTGATGCTGAAGTTGCAGCATTGCAGAAATTAAGCAATTTAAAAAAAAAAAGTGCTTGCATACGTGTACTGTATATGTAGCTATACACAGTTTTGCAAAATTTGCCGTAATCAATGAATCCACAGTTCTCCTATGTAAATGCTGACAAGCTTAGCATGCAAAATGAAAGAGAGGGGACAATCTTTCTTTCTGACATATCTCTGAGCTCAATTTTTGCGACCAATTGTTGCAGTCTGTACAAAAGTAAGTTGTTTACTTTCCTTCGACTTCTGCATGACTGGAGTTTAATAATATCTGTAATGCTGAGGTTTACATTTCTCAGGTCAGTTTGTTGGGAAATTCCATGACTGGAGAAGGGTAAGTTTCCATTTTAAAAATAATGCCAAAAACTATAAATATTTTGGATATCTACAACCCACACGAAGCACTGAAGCGAACAAGGAGTTGGGTTTTGTGTTGTCACAAAAACGCGTCAACACAACAGGGTTCCTCAGTAATGATAAACTTATACGTTCTCAAGTGTAAACTAACTCAAGCGGGAGACGAGGACTTCATACAGATTAAAGCTAACATCAACTGTTCCTGTGGTCAGCACAGTATAGGAAAAAGGGTGATGTACTGTCCCAAAAAGGAGTTCACTATCTCTTTGTCCACTTCATTCAATTGTTGAATGGGATCATGTATAAGGGAAATCTAATAGAAATCATATACAGGTGAACAAGAAGAAGCCTCGCTGCTAAGGTGATTATGTATGTTGGCATCACTACTCCGAGATTGCTTTGGAGTAATTTTTTATCAGGTTTTTCATCAGGTCATCACGTTGCAGGGACGGCAATAATATCACACATCTTCCTAACCTTAGAATTTTTTGGAGCAATTTGCCTGCCAACACAATGTATTGCCTCTCAATAAGGATCACCACCACAAATTTTCTATTAGCGATTTAATTATTTGCGTATGTTAAATACCATTCTAAATTAAGTATCTTTTAACAGAAATTCGCTGCGCACTAATCAGAAATATGACTTTTGGAGCAGCATTGGTAATTCGTGTACTTGGTCACAACAAGGATCCTGCAATGTTCAAACGATTTATCATCGGATTTGCTGTTTCTCATATGCGTGGAATAGCCATTAAGAATTAAGAAATGTGGAATTTTCTTTATTTAAGCAACTTGATTCAAAGTCCTTCAAAAATATTCTCGCCACCTTTTACAAGCTTAAAGTTGTTGGGTGTTTTATTAACAAAAAAGATGAGAAGGTGCAAAATTCCTTACCCTTTCATCTCAATTTCCCATGTGACACACTATGGAATTTAATATGTCGACATATGTCTGAGTCATAAATTTCAATTATGTATTACAACTACATTGCCATTGCGACAACACACATACCTCATATGTATTGATAACATTGTTTTTTTTACAGATCTTTGGACCCAATTGGGGTGATTCATTGAAATAAATCTATCTATCTTACAGACCTGCCGTGTATGCCATTACCACCATAGTTCCATTAGGATGTGATCCACACTATGCATAATATGTAACTCGCCAAGGCATATAAACGTTCTGGCAACGTTCTTTACACGAGTCATATATCTCATCACACAACTTTCTCCTCTGTTAGACGTAATACCCGGAGAGAGTAAGCAAAACACGACTGACACAGACCACTAGCAACCAAAGACTAACTTTAGTATGTTGGGTGCAGCAGTAATGTTAACAATCCCCACCATAGCGTTTTAAAAAAATTGTTAACAATTTTGTTAGACACAAAGTACAAGTAACATTGCTTTTCAAACTGAATAACTTGTCCTTTATAAAATTTAGCACAAAATACTGCAAGAACTGCACTTGTTGGATGCAGTGGAAGTTCATGTACGTGCACCGCAATTCTTACCACTACGGTCTTAACCAAACATATATAACTAACCTGTATTAATCGTGGCATAAACCACTGCACTATATTATACTGCATTTAAAACCAGAGTATATACACTAAATGGCAGATTATTGATTAATTAAGCCACCGATCTGAGTGAACAAATCACCATTGCAGTTTGCTTAACCATGGCTCAAGCAATATTTGGGAAGTAGATCGTGGTGAAGAAGCCGGTTGTTCAGATGCATACTCACTGTCGCAATGTGGAGTCGCAAGCGACTCCAGTAAGGTCCCATATCCACCCACTCTGGGCACTGGAGGTTCCGTCGGGTATGATTTACGAAGGTAAGTATTCTAAATATCATTGGTCGCTATTGTAGAATACTTAAATACAGAACAGAAATACAGATATTAGAATACTTACTTACTTACTTATAATCCTGATAGTTTTACTGTGATTACTAATTTTTGAATTTTTGTTTAATTAACAGCGTGTGCCGGAGAAAGTAATGAACACAACCAACTCACCCGGATCGCAACACCAGACTGACTTTATTTGAGGGAGGTGCAGCAGTAATGCTAACACCCCCTATGCCGCGGTTATAAAATAATTGTTCACAATTATTTTAAATGTTTAAATGATTAATACAATGCTTTTCCAACACAAAACACGCTATATATATAAAAGTAGCGATAAATCGTAATGAAATGAATAAAGTACATAGGCACATGTACTTATAACAGAAATCCAACTAAACATATGTAACGCAATTTATTATTTGTCGTGGTAAAATCCACTGCACTGTTACACTATTAGAGGAAATATTGATTATTTCTAGAAATGACACAGTTTGCCACTATTTTGCAGTTCAAACTGCAATACTACTGCAAATGTAGGGAAGTAGGAGAGTACTGTCTACTCCAAGAATAAAAGACACGCATACTAAAGAATAAACATACAAACCACTATATAGGATAGGACGAAAAAGACGGTAACAGACAGTATAAAAGTTGAAACAAGCATAAAACTCACAAAACCATCGTGAATTGTAGCACAACTTCCAGTATTGACTGGAACATACATAAAAAGTGCTGACACAGCTGCAGCATATAATATCCCAGTCCAGACTGGAATAAAAATCCACGAGTTTAATATTTAAAATAACAAAGAAAAATGCAAGTTCCCCTTGACATTGAACTAATTCAAAGTGTCGTGAACTTGTTAAGACGTATATATAAGGAAACATACTCTATAGAAACTACACACGTGCTAGATCAATTAGTTAGTAGTATAAGCAATAATGGTGAAAGTGAAAACAACATAAGTGAAAAAAGTGACGAGGGACTTTCTCCAAGTGTCGAAAATAACGAAAATACAACTGTGCCAACTGCATCACACCAAAAAGGGGAAGAGGAATGTAAACCATGAAAAAAACCTTTTGCTGGTAAACGAAAGGAATTAGGGGAACATTGGGTAGCGAAACAGTATAAAATAATCGTGACAGTAGAAAGAAAATATTTTTGTTTGAATTGCCATAAGGTATATACAACGAAGGATTTTTTTAATAATCATAAATGCAAACCAAAAGAAATCCTTACAACTGACACCACAAGAAAAGTAGTGATAATTAGCCCCACAAAAGCGGATAAACTAGTAATTTCAACCAAATGTGAACAGAACATAATTAAGAAAATAGAGAAAGATGTACGTACCGTGATATTTAACATAATGTGTGCTTAAAAATGACTCCTATTAGTACAAACAAGTGTAGTGCACCAAAAAAAGTGGATTCAACAGCATAAAAGTAAATGTTTTTTTTTAAATTGATTAATTTAGTACGACAAAAATTACACACACGCCTAAATACAGAATGACACTCTTACCAGTTTAAAATAGACATTTTAAGAACAATAAGGTGCAGAATGACTTCTGATTTAGTCAACGACCCTCTGTGGGATTTAAGGTATCGGTGCCCACGATACAACACCAATATATGGTGTGAAAGGTTTATTTACGAGCAGTATGCTCGATTTCGTCGGTCTGTTTCACCGACCTCAGAACTGCAAGCAGTAAACTGAGTAATTAGCCAAATACAGGAATATTCTCCAGCAACTATTGCGGAGTTTGCAAACTGTACGCCAATAACTTTTAAATAATTTTTGCCTATAGGGCTAAGACTCCCGACGACAAAAAGAGCTCAACGCTCTTAATAGCGATTAATTACTAACTATATAATAAGTAGTTGTAGCGGATACCTTCAATATTATATATATGTATGTATATGACTGAACATAAAGGCTAGTGAAAACTACCCTGCTGACACAGCAAAGTGAAGTGACTTAACTAAATAAATAAGAAAACCACTGAAAACTTATCCTGAAGCTTTGCCCTGCTGAAACAGCACAAATCCATGCAAATCAGTCAGGACATACATAGCACGATTTTCAAGAAAAACAAATTCGTAAGTAAATAAAACTTGTTTACGCCATGCTTGCACAGCAATAATTAAAGCACAGGGAATATACGACTAACAGCATATAAATTACGACAAGACATCAGTACTAAGTAATAATTATTCTTCCAGCACTACACAAGGTCCTCTCACACACAAGAAGAAGATGACAACTCTACTCTCCTTCGTACTTATTGGCATCATAGGAAGGTAACAAAAAGAAAAATTAAAATTGCTGTTGGTTTAATGTATAAAAAATTAAAATGATCAATAACAATGATTTTGAAAATTATTTGTTTCCGCAGCCAGGCAGTTACAATGCCTTATCCGGCCGTGACGCTCGGGATGGGTGAGATGGCGGCCTGCATAGGCTGCATCCAACGGAGTAAGTTCTTCTTATTTACTGCTGCTTATTTACTAGACGCATAATGTAACCGTACTCATAGCATTAAAATTTAATTCCAGACAACACGTATGCGGTCTGGGAAGCCGAGGAACAGGTCCACCCACGGGGGAGCGGCGCCCACGTGGAGGCCATCTTGGACGTAAGAACAATGCATACATTTATAATAATTACGCGTATATTAAAAGTGTAGCTAGAACAGACGATTAATTAGTATACATGATTAATAAAATTCTATTTTAAACTTGCAGGATCCATGCCGGATCACACATGCCATCTTCACCCGGAGTGCGCGGACTTCTTCCCGGCGTAGAAGAAGACGCTGGTGTCCCTCATGATGGGGGACATGGGTCCCCCATCACTGAGACTGAGTTTATTCAAGGGATGTGCAGCAGTAATGCTAACAATGCACATACTAATGATAATAGCGCCAAAAAGATCATAATTCAATCAAATTAATTCCATTTACTTCCCAACAGCCAATCAGCTCATCCCCTTAACCAAGCCACAATTCAAGATGCTGAAAACCACTGTGGGGCTGCTCCTGCTCGCTCTATCCGGGTATCAAACTTGATTCAAAATCTTATATTGCTATTACACACTCTTTAAATAGAAAAGAAATAATTAGCAATGTAAAATTAATTTTAAAAAATTGGCTTTGTTGTTTTCAGTGCTCCTAGCACACAGCAATTGCCCTCACTAACTCTCGGTTTCGGAGAGTTGATCCAATGTGCAGCCTGTTTGGACAGGGGTAAGTACTATTGACCATCTACAAAAGAATAATTATTTATGCTTCCTAAATTTCATTGTACTAATTGAGTTTTAATTAACTAGACCAATCGTACATAATTTGGGATGCGGAGGCACCCATCACTGATACATATAAATATTGACAAATCCTGCCGTGTGGCGCAAGCCATCCTCATGCGTAAATGGGACTGCTTAAGCTTCATCCCCAAGGAAAAGCAGACCCTGCTCGCCCTCATGGGCGGACCAGAAGTCGCATGGGTGGAGTGGCTGGTTTGTCCACTAGGACCAGGTCTGCAAAACTAAATTATGAATTCAAACTAACCTAAACAAAATTCTAGTAGTCGCTCGGACAAATAGCTAAATAAAAATATCCTTGAGCAAGCAACATTGCACACTCCTACTACATTTTAACATAAACATCTCCTTACTAATCATCATCAAGAATGTCATACTTATTTGGACTTTAACAGACTTATTGCGCACTACCATGCAATTATCCACAGAGTTATCTCTAAAATTATTCATAAAAATAAAATAGTGAACACTAAAAATTCAACATACGCAGAAATAAATTTAAAAAAATTATTAAGATTCGGACACATACAAAACCAAATACATCTATGCATCTATGCAACCTAATGTTAATAAGTATTCAGCACATCTAAATCACAAAAAAAGACTCTCCGAGTTTACGCATTATGTATCAGCTTTGTAAAAGCAAGGTGCTCATGTTTACAAATAGTATTAGTCCTACCCATCGGGAATTGGGAAAGGGGTTAATTCTGAAGTATTACTGACCCGCAGAGGTTGTGCTACGGTTTGCGCGTACGTAAGAAACTTGGTTGGTCACGGCATGCTGCACAAATAGCATGAGATGATAAGAATAATAATGACGATGACGGCTACCGGCAAATTCACTCCGATCGTAGTCAAGGTTACAGCGGGTACGGCATGGATGTGGAGCTATGAAGAGAAAACAGGTAGTAATTCCGGGGAAAACAATGGGATTTATACAAATATATGTATACTAACAATTCCCCAAATATTTACAGGAATAAAATCGTACTTCATACCAGCGCCATTCATGATTGGATTTAACCAAACCTACGTATCTAGTACATACCTTGTAACCTACGTATAATAAAACCATAAGGGTTCGGAGAAAAGAAGTATTTTGGTGGATTGAGTCCCTTCTGCATTTTTTTTGTTTATGTTTTGCTTTGTACATATCCGTAACTAATATAAGCTGTAGCATGGCCACACTTTGTCACACCTTATCACGAATTTGCCGTTTAATTGACAACTTCTTACCCTAGAAATGCGATGTGAGCACAATTCATATTCATACCGTTAGAATGTCCGGGGATGAAGCAGATTTAAAATTCAAGTCATCCTTGGCCAGAATACATAAATTTTTTACAAAGAACGTAACACTTCATTCCTTTCTATGCCTCCAATTAAAACTATGAACAGTATTTACTACTTCGACATATCTTGCCTCGCTTAGTAAAGTGAAGGAAGATGATTGAGTATGTTGAGGATGGTTGATTACATATGTATATCGTCTGCACATAGTATCAAAAGTGCACGGGTCACATAAATGCAAACGATGCAAAAATGTGCGTTTTGTTGCACAGTGCAAATACCGAGGGTGGAAACACCTTATTTGGACGGCAGGAAAACTGACCTTAAAATTTTATCCGGCGTTTATGAATTTGCTTTCTTTGTTCAATGTCTTCCCCAGACTTCTGGCTAACTGCCCTCAGTCGCCGTTTCCACGAAATCATCACTTTTCCCATATCTTGAACACTGATCTTGCTCCACTCGTCTTTAAGTACTTTCCAAACCCCATCCGCGTCTCGACTAAAGCTTTTGTTTTAGTAGTCCAAATGCAAAGAAATCCATGGGACTAGTACGAGGACTCTTTACAGGTATCTCACTTTTTGGAATGATGGCTATTCCCAATATTTGTTTTAGATCGGCTGCAGATTTGGTCGTCAATCTGGAGGTGAACGATGAGGCAGCGTCATGACGAACAAAATTATCGGTCTGACCTGGGTATAACTTCGGAATATGAATTTCCAAAAGAGGTTTTAAAACCTTCTCAACAAGTTAATCTTAACCTTGGTGGGCACTTGGATGAGTGGCAGGGTGCCACGCCCACCTAAAGCACCCACCACCATAAACTTGTTGCAAAACTTTTCAATTTTCTGAAACACAAATTCAGGGTCAAATTTCCCTGGTTTCTTGTAATATATTTTACTGTAGCCTTTACAATCTTGAAGGTTGAAGAGTGTTAGTCCAAAATAACACATAATTCGGACTGTTTCCTTGCCAGATGATTTTCGTACAGCTTTCTGCAGTTCGTTTTCCGGTTCCGCTTATGACACTCCTTTAGGACGTGAAATCTGGCTTTTTTGTTGATACCTTTCTCAAGTTTTTGTCGAATGACCTTACCAATAGTGGTGTGAGAGACCCCGAATTGTTTTCCCATCTGTCGTTGGCTCGGTGGGTTTCTTTATAGGTCTGGAGATCAATTTTTCGAATAATGGCACTGGTTACCACTTTTGGGGGCTGGTGCTTCTTCGGCTCGGTAGACCGGCACTTCGATATTGTCTCAAAATTCCAACTTTGTTTAACACATTAGATACTGTCGTACGACCCACGTTATATCCGGACCCTCGGAGCTTATCAGAAATTTGTCTACATGACAAACCATCTTTGGAAAACTGGTTTATCAGTGGGTCAACTTCGGGTGGCAATTTCTTAGGCATTTTTAAGCCAATTCGTGTCAAGTAATTTTTTTTGGAATGCTGCACAATTCATTTACTCAAAATAAAAACGTATATAATGTTAACCGCGCCAGTGGAGCTTTATGGCCGGTTATCTTGCGTCCAAATAAGACATTTCCACCCTGTATATCTATGCACCCCTAAGACCATATAATTAAATAATATATATAATTAATGTTAATGTACATATATAATTAATGTCGAGTGATTGACACGAGCATAAAAAGAACGACATTTTATATTGAAGCACTGTTTTTTTGCCTATTGTGGTAAATAATTCAGGCCAAAATTAATTCGTGGTGGATTTTCTTCCTAGTAATTGTTCTCTCCTGTTGTGAGGCAACTCGAATAGACGACCTGGAAAGGGAGGCAAGGGGCCTGTTCAAGGCATCGGGCATTCTCAAGAATAATATCAAAAGCGTATCGAACCACCTCAAAAATTTTGCCAAAATTTCGGAGGCTGTTGCTAGCGTCATCCTCCATACAATTATGTAATAGATTATTCTGTTCGTGCCACTTATTTTGGGTTTCCAAATATGATATCGACAGATTTCGTCAATTATGCGGCGTGATATTTGAAGGAATATAAGTGACGTGAGGGTGCGAATGGGGTCTTACTGCGTTATTGTGCGATATTGTACCCTTGTAGATGGACGTATTCAAATGTCCATAACCATTTAAAAGAAAAATGTGTAGATGCCGTGCGCTCAATTTGCAACCTTCAATTAAAATTTAACAACAGTGTAATTCATGTTCTAACAAATAATTTCGGTAAATACGATTCAATTTGATTAAGCTGTCTTACCAGCGATGTCAATCAGTTCACAATCAAGTTATCCATCAGATTTTTTAAAGTATTTTGTGGTTGTCATTGGGTGCAAATAATACAGAATTTCCCTAAATTATTGTAGAAGTATTTATGCACAACCAAATACGTATGACTAAAGAAACGAAATCAATCGCATATCGCATACTAAATTTGCTTATCTGAAAAATTGATAAGTCTGGAGATAAGCCCTATAGCGTTAATTTTTCAGTGAATATCACCATCATAAATTCATAAAAGCTTAAGTTTTAAATTTGGGGCGATATGGATAAACTAAGTTTGCTTATCTGAAAAATTGATAACTTAATTGATAAGCCTCAAAGCATTAATTTTTGAGTGAATCTCACCATCATAAATTCATAAAAGCTTAAGTTTTAAATTTGGGGCGATATGGATAAACTAAGTTTGCTTATCTGAAAAATTGATAACTTAATTGATAAGCCTCAAAGCATTAATTTTTGAGTGAATATCACCATCATAAATTCAGAAAAGCTTAAGTTTTAAATTTGGGGCGATATGGATAAACTAAGTTTGCTTATCTGAAAAATTGATAACTTAATTGATAAGCCTCAAAGCATTAATTTTTGAGCGAATATCACCATCATAAATTCAGAAAAGCTTAAGTTTTAAATTTGGGGCGATTTAGATAAACTAAGTTTGCTTATCTGAAAAATTGATAAGTCTGTAGGTAAGCCCTATAGCGTTAATTTTTGAGTGAATATCACCATTATAAATTCAGAAAAGCTTAATTTTAACAATTAGATCGATTTGAGGCTACTTTAATAACTTTATTCTTTATCATTATTTTTATGGGTAGTATTTCACAAGCAGCCATACTATGTATGTATGTATGTTACGGCTCTTGCAAAATAAGCCCCTCCCTCAGAAACTTTGACCCCAAAAAACTCATTGTTCCGGTCATTTCTACTCGGCCAACAAAAGCTGAAAATGTAGCTCTTCTCAAGGAGAAAAATCTGGCATCAGGTTGTCAGACTAGAAATGACCGCTAAGGTCACTTTTTTAACGATTTATATGTAGGTCGAAAAACCGCCAATTTTCGAATTTTGAAACTTTTTCTGCATCAAAATGTTTGTATCTATGGGGGAATTAAAATGTCAAATACAACTTGAGGTCTAATTATTTTTTTACGGAGTGTACATTAGCTTTCTCATTTTTCCCAATTTTTTACCCCCATTTTTTAAGGGGGGGTGGTTGCCTATAATTCAAAAATAGCTATGGTAAGGTGATCCATGCAACCGCAGTTCATTTTGCAATTTTTTAAATTAAATTCGGTGGCATCGATGCGAAATACTGTAACACCGTATCATTCATTTCATCTCAGAAGTAATTACCACCTACTTTTACCACAGAGGAGAGTATGTGATTACTACATGCATGCTTAATTAGACACAGTATGTTCATATATTCGGGAGGGTCTTGTCTACCATTCCATGCCCAGCACTACGTATAGACTTGTACACATGCTTACAAATGATCTGTTTTACGCAAACTTTTCTACGCAAGTATTTAGTATTTAAATATTTACTCCAAGTTATAACTATGATGGTCTGGTGCATACATATGTGTACATTTTGATGAAAATTCTAAGTGATGTAATTCTCTGAGATTTTATCAAGAGCGTCAATTTAAGTTCGGCATGTATAGAAATTGATGTCCTTCTAACAAAATTATGCCGTATTAATCTCTCTTCTATGTAAAAATGTCTTCTTCCTCTACACAATTTTTTTTCCAGATGTCGAACTTAATTCCAAGAATTTGGTTTATGATTTAGGTTAAACCGTGAGACTGAAATGTGAGGGTTTTAAAATAGTAAATATGAAAATCTAGATTTTACGATTAACTACTATTAGGTACAATAATACTAATGATAATTATACGGTGTGAATTTAAATAAATTTGTAAACAGCTTAGCTAATTATCTGGAACACTCGCTTTTTCTTGTTCCTTTCGTTGGGAAATATTATAAATGATGATGTTGGAAGATTGGACAATATTTGCACGTTCAAAATAGCCAAAGCCGATATCTGTAAAGGAATAGTGGGGAAAATATCACGTGGAAATCTCACAAATTTGTACATACATACAAGGTTCATTTAATCTAATATACTTACTCTATTATAATATCGTGATTGGCTTAATGTAGGAATTTAATCAAGTAAAAATTTCATTATAACAAGATTTCTTCGTGTAACCACCTGGTAATGAATAAAATAAAATAAGTAAAATAGTTGTAAATATAGAAATCATGTGCAATATGTTAAGCCAAAATTAGAACTTACTCGTCGTTAGTTTTGTACAGTGTACAAAAACATGTTTGTACATACCAAAGTATGGCCAAATGTATGTACATACGTGCCTATGTACATATGTATAAAGCTTGTCCATCTTAACGCGATTCCTTAAAGAAAAAAGTGTACAAAAATATGCATATTTTTCAAAAAATACGTATACTGTTCCTATACATACATATGTATATGAAAATCTTTGGCTCACCGATTACAATTCTTTCCAAATTGACTAATTTTGATAAGTCAATTTTAATATATCCATTCATTGCATGAATGGGTAGTCCAGGATGACGTGGAGGAGCTATATACAAACATAAGTATTTAATTATGTAACTATTTACATATGTATGCTGGTTTAAAAAAATAAATATGTAATAAATTAATTAAAGTTTGGGAAGTTACATATGTACATATTTATATTGAAATAATTGAATTTTACATGAAATCTTACCAGCATGAGGGTCCTTAAATGCAGCTACATTTTGAATCCATTAAATTTACAACAAAATTATTTAATCCTGTTTTTCGTAAAGTGTGTAAAAATAACTGCTAATGCTGCGCCAACATCTGGACAGTTTTGTAATATTTTTTTGCCAAATTTGTACGGAATGGGTTACAGTCTGCTACGCGTTGAACGTGTCGCAAATTCACTGGATGATAATCTGTAGGATGGTGGCTGTACACTACATACATACATATGTACATATTATTAGGCCGATAAGCAGTACATACATATTTATGTATGTACATATGTATCGGTAAGAAAAATAGGAATGGGATACGATGATCCAAATTATATATCACAGTTTGTTTCAATCATGCACGTTTACTAACGATAAGTATCTTCGCACTGTTGTGGATTTGTATATACACATATACTCGACAAAATGATAGAGTGAGGGTGAGGCAGATGCTTGGAGGGAAAGGACTCTGCAGAAAGGATGGGGGCGTAACAATTATCGGTTCCAATGGGGAGAAGGGTATGGTTTCTGGTTATATATGTATGAATTTGGACTACTTCGTTCCCTTACCTTAGAAGATTGCCCACATGCTCTATGCACGACCATTGTAGACCGATGTATTAAAATGTATTATGTATGTATGTAAATAAGAAATGTCTATCATAATCAAGCAAATACTTATGTATGTACCTACATACATGCATAGTATGCGTGTTTGATCGAAGTGTGAACTTTGCTCATGAATGTTTTATTTTACACATAAATTTACACTGCATTAATTTTGAAATTTTTTATTTTAAACGTGGACAGTACATATGTAGCTGATGAAATGTTTGACGTATAACGTTATACTTGAGGATTTACAAATGCAGAATGTGTGTAAAATATTAAGTGCAAAGCTAATAGTTCGAATGTTGCTGATGCACTAGGAAATGTTTTTTTATTTTTATTAGTAGCATGGTTGTAAATATTGAGAATATTCGTTTCTTCATGTTTGTTGAAGAAATATTGTGCGATACAATTTTACCAAAGCTGGTTGAGTGGAGGTACATATAAAGTTATATGTACGTCTACTCAACCAGCTTTGGTAAAATTATAACAATTTTGTTAAAATTAAGCCTAATTTAAGCGTTTGGTTCCTTCGCCGTTCTACCATAAATTTGAGTGTATAGCTCTTAAACTATTAATCAACCAAGAAAATTTACACGAAATGCATTCATACATGTCTCACTTTATTATTTATTAGGTAAAATAAATATTAAGTAATTCCAGACACTTCATAAGCATGACAGTATAAATTTTAAAATTTCATGAACAAGTATTGGAATCACATTCGGAGATACAAACGCTTATCGTATACATATATTTTCCGTAATGTTTTAAAATAAACAAAATCTAACAAAGAGTTAGCGAATACCTAGGGTGTCTTACGCTATTTTAATAAAGCTAAAAACTGACCTAAAAAATGTAGTCGACGTCGATGAATTTGTTCCGTTTGTTCAACGTGTTCCCCAGACTTCTAGCTAACTCCCCAAAATCGCAGTTTCCGCAGGTTTTTCATTTTTGCATATTTTTATAGGTGAATAAATTATACTTGATTTAAAAAAGTTTCCAAAACCCACCAAAATTTGTACCTCGTAGATTTGTAAACCTTGGTTTTTGCTAGTCCCAACCCCTTATAAACCTTTGGGAAAGATATATTGACTTCTCACATGTATCTGGATATTAAAAATGACCGAAATCACCAACTAATTTTTTTATCACCCGGCATCCGGGGTCGTTTTCCGGGAAATTTTGAGCGTTAAGTTTGTTTTCACGTGAATTTCTGTGATTTTCCGGACCATTATGTGAAGCTTGTTCATAATGATATTATTTGCATATTGCTACGAGATTTTGACAACTTTCCTACTTTTTAGTTTGGAACCAGGATTGTCCCCGCTTCCCAGGGCGTCAATTATTCGAAAAACGGTACGCGACACCTTTTTTGGGGGCTGAAACTCTTTTTGCGATGGGAGTCCTCCTAATTAAGATTTTCTCCCAATTCCAACGGAATTAAGTATATTAGACACTGTTCTTCGAGAAACACTATATCCGGATAATTTCAACTTGTCAACAATTTTTGTGTGTGACAATCTTCCTTCGGAAAAATGCTTATTGCGATGGTCGACTTCGAGAGGCAATATCTTCGTCATTTTTCGACCAATTTTTTTGAACCAATGCTTTTATGCACATATGGAAACTCTAGTTTTACGAAAAAAATATATAAATACGGAAAAATACTTTTGCGTGGAATTAGGTCAGTTTTTAGCTTTATTAAAATAGCGTAAGACACCCTGTAGCCGCATTCTCAGATGGAACTAGCGTGCTAATTAAACAGGCTAACGAAAATGCATTTTTCCCTAAACTAAAATTAATATGAGGAGTTCAAATACAAAAATGGCTAATCAATTTACATACATTTATTAAACTAAGATGATTCGACACTTGTATTTAGGAGGGGAACCCATCCACATGCTATTTGCAGATGTTGATGCCCTTTGCATATGTAGTAGCCCTAGGTGAGTTGTGGAAAACCCTAAAGTGATACCAAACTCAACTTTTTTGAAATTTTCTGTTTTTTTTTAAATTTCCTACCCGGGGATGTGTTTTCGAAAATTTCAAAATTTTAAAAAGCTAAGTTTGATATCGAATATGATAAAGTAACTCTCTGGGATCAAGAAAATGCAAAAAGTATCAAAATCCGATCAAAATTGAATTTTTGCCGAAGGTTTGAAGCCAGCTAGTTTAGCAGTGGCAACCCGTTCGAGGGGGTGTGACGGGCGCAAGTGGGGCCATGGAGTAAAACCACTTTAGGGTTATCCACTACTCACCTAGGGCTACAAAATATGCAAATGGCATCAGGATCTGAGAATGGCATGTGGAGGGGTTCCCCTCCTTAGAAAAGCTTCATTTTCACCATGTGCTTAAAATAAGTCTGAATTTACCAGGCAAAAATTTCCACTTCTTTCTTATTAACATTTCCTAATCACACTGGCAAACGCATTCAACCCAAATATTTTTATCGTTGTGTGCATAATTTCCCAGAAGAATTATATTTAGATCATGCCATAGGTACTCTGACTGACCAGTTGTTCAAACATTCTTTTACCCTCACACCCAATAACACGAGTTTTCTTTCGAGAATGTGTAGGGTTCCGCTTTCGGGGTTCGAGTTTTTAGGGTGTGCAAAGTGTCTACAATTGTACCAAATAGTTCTTACGTGTTCAAAACTGTAAAAAAAAACTGAGAAATCGGGAGTTTTCTTTATTAACGACTTTTTGCCATGTCCACTAACGAATTTGAAATTTATGTAAAGAAATTGTGTGTAATATACATAATTTGCAGCGACATTCCCTTTGTTTTGTTCTTTGTAAATAATACATGTGTGTATGTGCATATCTTATTGATATATATAAATATATATTGATTGATTGATTGATTGATGATGCTTTATTATCGGGTCTAACAAGTTCACAGAAATACAACCATGCTCTTCCACAAGTGACCACATTAAATAAACCAATATATATATAAAAACATTAAGACAAAACATAAAACATAATTAATTAATTCAAATTGAAAATTCAAATTCATCATAGTTCCAACATTCAACATGACGAACCAAATTCTAAATCGTCATCAGAAAGCCAGATCTAATTTTAAAATATATAAATGAGATAAAACATGTAAACAAATATCAATCGATAATCATTAAATAATCCATTCAAATAAACCAACTCCGGTCGTAAACAAAGAATCATCAGATGTTAAGAACATCTCTCATCCTATCTCATACTGGTAAAATACATTATGTAACATCTCATATCTGTATGCAAAATTATTCATTGTCCACATTATATCGCGATATTGCATACGTAAAGGATTAAGAATTCTAGCTAGTTTCAAAAATAACTTTCCGCAAATAAATTCCTGCTTTGCATTAACCGATTCATGTAAATTTCTGTTACATATGAAAATTGGGACACAACTTGGACAGGCCCAGTTTTTAGTGAGTAAAATGTTAAAATACGAGTTGTCAGAAATTGTAATATTACAGCGGTTTATGTGGACATAGTTGAAACAGTAGACACATTGCAGTAATCCATTTTTCCAGATGGAGTTGATAGTGGTTTCGTTCTTGAAAACAGCAGTGTTGTTAGCTAGCTCCTCCGTGAAAACGACAGAGTAGATAGTCTCACCAACGGTAACTGGATTTGAAATATCCCAGATTTCTTGTCCACAAAGATGACATTTAGGTCCAGGCGAGTCAAGTGAATCATGGTCGGGATCATGTTCCTCATTGAAGTCCCAATCATGGTGCTCTAGTTTACTGCAGACCGCAGCATAATTTTCATCATCCGCATTTCCATTCAAAATGACGACGTTAGCAAGCGGATGAGCCAAGGCAATGATGTCCTCTAACTTTGGACGTTCAGGCACCAACGCAGAGTCCGTCTTGCACATATTCGTCGACGTTGTAGAAAAAACAAATAACAAATAAGTTATTATCCAGCATAAGGAATTGTATAACAATAATAATAATTATGGAAAGATTTATCGCCTTATTAGGCACTTAACAGTGCGTGAGAATGACCAGCTCCGCAAAAGAACATACGCTCAAACTCCGCGATGCCATTTGGGGTCATTCCCCTTCACCATAGGTATGGTGGGAAACAGGAAACTTTGCCAACCTTAGTCCCCTCCGAAATAAGATACGGTTGAAAGAACGTCTCATAAACCAGTTGTTGGGAAGAGTCAGGAACTTGGACGAGTCCACTACTAGTGAATGGGGAACACTGGTGGCAGAGAGGATAATTCGATTTCCTTTTCAGCAAAACAACGGTCACGCGGTCACAAGTTTCAGATGACCACTCGCACTGTCTTAATGGGGTTATTGGGGAATTGTAGAAACAATTTTGAAATGCGGGGGTAGACTATTGATCTCAAAAATTTAGAAACAAAAATATTCTGCTGCTGAGTCACAACTGCCTGCCTGTGGTTTATACATACATGCATCAAGAGAAATGACTCCGGAACGCTGTACTACAATAATAACTTAGATTTATTTTAAACAATTTAATGTTTTATAATATCGCAAGCTTAGGCAATCGAATACTTTATTTTAAGGCAACTTGTCGCCATTGGTTTGCATTTTTTGTGTATAAACTATACAAACAGTACTTGTCAAAACACTACAATACCTAACTATTTTCAATAGTCAGCATATTCCATTTTCAATAACTTCCAGAACAGTGCTTAAACAATGACATAAAGCTG